CTTTACTTATAATGGTGAATGAGTAATTTAAACTCGGGAGAAGATTAGCAAGGCAATTGAGACATTTCACAAGGTTGTTGGCACAATTAGTGATAGATTAGGAAGGCAATTGAGATATTTCACAAGGTTGTTTGGCACAACTAGTGATACACAGTTGTGTTACGGGAACATGATCATGAGGTTTTGTGAACAAGGGATGTTGTTCGAGGCAGAGCTTGTTTCGCCGAAATGTGCTCTAAAAAGTATCTTGTCCCTGATGTTTCAACATATCAAACCATGAGGGATGCATATATGTGAAGGAGGCCAGAGTCAGCGATGCTCTAAAAACTGTGAACCAAACTTTGGATGCTTGTCTAACCTATATTGCTAAGAAGACATCAGTAGTGTAGTATTAGCGCATGTTCTACTCTTAATGAAGAAAAGCTTTGCATTGTGAATCAGACACACAAACACTTGCAATATACTATTAATCATGTTTAATACAAATTTACAGTCATTGTGGCTATTATGCTCATTGAGAATAATTGTGGCTCTTGTGGGGTTGAAGATATTGTTGGAGAATGCTGGAGCTGTCTTTAGGACAATTGAGAGGTTTGTTCTTGTTACTTAACTTTCTTAAGTCGTAGTTGTAAGGGTATTCATTTGTCAGTTTAATATGGATTGCAATCTCTGTTGAACATGTATTCAAGTCCCATTGAAATTTGAACATTTGTTTGTCATTGTTGAAGAACAGATCTTCTACTCTTGTGTTTTTGTCATCATTAAATAACAGAGCTTCTACTCTCTTATGTGTTTCTCACTGCTAAACAAGCAAGCGTTTACTCTTAATCTCATTGTTGTGATTTGTGAATCAGCTTATCAGGTAGGAGCATAAACTCGGCCATGCAGTATATTTTAGTCAGGGTTCTTCGATTTTAGATCAATTATGTCCAATGATTAAAGAGTTTCACACTCATTTTTTTCTCATACTATTCACTAGGCTGTAAAAACTCACTGTTTTGCTGTGTTACTTGTCTTTAAAGATGGTCCGGTCCAGTCATATTTCATGTATCTTGGTTAGACTGATTCGTTTCCTTTCTCTTGTTTCATACATCCTCTTAGAGTGTGCCCTCAATTGTTGCTTTACACTTTCATACACTCTGATAGGAAATAAATAAGAGAAATGAGCAAAGGAGGGAACCATAGTTTCAGTAAATTTATAGTTCTGTAATCCTTTTATCTTCTGGTCAAATTTCAGGTTCAGGAAGTTCACAAAGAGCATATCATACCTGCCGAGTACTACATGAGACATTGTATCAACGGGTAACAGAAAATGAGAGAAACAAAAAGAAAACAGTGATCATACAAGACTCTCCCATGCTTATTACGAAAGAAAAGAAAACAGAACACTTCACTGCTTATTACAAAAGAGAGAGAAAACAGAACAATTCACTTCCACTTAGGTGTTCAAGCATTTGATATCATGTTCCTGCATGCATAAACAAACATTTAGCCACATTTAACAACTAATATTAAGACATCAAATACATTGAAACTAACACTTACCATTGTACAGAACCCAAGACCATTCAACTGCCTTCTTGACAATCGTTACATTTGTACCAAATGCAACCCCAGCCGTCCTAAGCTTGTCCTCCAAATCTTCACTTATTGTGTAAGTCACATTAGCCTCTCCCAAGTTTCGCATAATTGTAGATGCCGATTTCATATCCTTGTGAATGACACATCCATGTAAAAAAATAGTAACCGCAACACTATCAATCCTTGGCATACGAAGGAGGGCTTTTGATGCATGAACCATTAAACCCCTTGCCGTATAGAGTTGGATTAATCCTGTAGAAATCATTGGATCCAAAGGAATTTCATAGTGTCGCATAAGCTTGTGGACCTTTTCTTCCACCAATTCCAGTTGCCACTGCTTTTTCTCCTTATCGGTCCGTAGAGCACCTAGAAGCCCTTTTATGCTGGACACTTCAGGATATCTTAATTTCAAAATCATAGCGAATACTAAAAGAGGGAGTGGCAATTCGGTAAAGGCATGGGCGTCACAAGGGGATGGCAGCCCCATTCGTCACGGGTATAATGGCATGTCCATAGCGCTCTGCGTAGACGAAGAGGTAGTTCCACTCACTGATAGTCAACCGCCTGGTTTTCGAAGTTTGGACGATTGTGTCCAGGACCATATCAACGTCCGTGTAGTTGTTGTTGTGCAAGTTATGTTCATTTTTCTGAAAGACAACCAGCAAATGTAATTTAAATTCAATTCCAAAAACAGTTGATTGGATTCAACCAACAAGAGCAATTGATTCAACCAGCAACGACAAGTGGAATTCAAATTCCAATTGATTGAAAAAGAAAGGTATACTATCAGACACAACAACAACATCAGATGTAGAGCAATCCAAATTATAGATGATTGAAGATACAATATCAAATTTTGTTTGATGTATTTCGTCTAAGAAAAACAAACCATGAGATATAAGAGTTATAAGATCGAGTACGGATTTTCACGAGAAATTTTATTCACTAAATATGTTATTTTTAGTTGATTATGATTCAAAGTATAGAATTAGGTGATGGTTCTGTAATTGAAAGACTTATTTTGAATATTTTTTTTAGTTTGGTAGAATACGAATTTTTCTACCACAATTCAATCATCTTTGCAGTAGATTTGGAATTGCTCTTGATTTAGAGGTTTTTACTGTTCTAGGTTGTTCATGATATGGAAGAATCCGACTCAATTTGGGATGTTTGCGAATCTGAGTTATATACATAGTTTAGAAAAGAATACAACATGACTTTCAGAAACTTGTAGATGATTAGGCTCAAAATAACAGAACGTGAAGATTTTTTGCGAAAAACAGAACATGAAGTTAATGGAATTA